AGATGAGAAGCAGAGTACTATGTCTGGAAAAGCCTGATCAGTGAGGCAAGCACTGGCTGGCCTCTGAGATTTTAGAAGGGCAGGGCAGCCTCTCCAGAGATGGGACTGAGACTGGGGTAAGCTTCAAGGGAATCCACGTAGAATGCATGGAATTTTGCCAATTTCAGTGTTGAGCATGAAAGTGTAAGTTAAGATAAAGAGTAAGATGGCTCCTTCTCTGCCACTAAATAATTAGGTTACCTGGGGAAAAGTCTCTTAGTCTTTCCAGGATCTAAGTAAGACTCATTAGGATACTGCATGGGATAGTTCTACGTGAGTTTCCAGGGCTACTATTCTGCGCTCTACTTTGTACTTCAGCTTCCTCATCTGAAAAATGGATTGAAGAATAGTATGTACCACAGAGACTGTACCTGATTTAACAACCTAAAATCCCCAGAAAAGTGCCTGCTACGTAATGTGTTAACTGTTACTAGAATTCCTTTCCTTTCTCATTACCACCAGTCTCCTCCAAACCCTTGTTATTCTCACCCTTGGATGACTTTAATGGTGTACATACCATATTCCCTATTTGCAGGGTCCCTTCCACATGACTCCAACCACTACATGACTACAAAGTATTGATTCTTAAAGACCAATGGACCCTCTAAAATTCCATGCACGGATGTGTAAGATTCAGGGAATGCACTGAAAACACAAAAAATAGTAAGTACATATTTCTGGGAAAAGCTCTTTAGCTTTCATGAAACTTTCAAAACAATAAAAAATAATGTTGGACTAATTAAGTTGACCCGTATTTCTAAATCACCTCATTCATCACTGAATTCAGATTAGAAAGATATTTTTCATAGTTCATTTACTTTCCTACTTATTAATAAACTTTTTTGTTTTTTTACTTTTCTCACATCTCCAACATCTCCTCACTTATCCTTACTCTCAGCTATTTCCCCAAGAAAATAGATAAAATCAAAAGAGGCGTTCCATACGCTTCCACCAACTCATCTGTCCATTCATCATCTTTGACTCAAACACTCTGCCTGTTACTTTGGTTGAAGTGTACTTGTGCCATACAAATGTCAAGCTCTCTACTTGCGTTTCATGCCTTTCCTCTTTCTTCTCAAAGACACCACTCAAGCAAAATCTCCCTTTATCTACAGCATCAGATATTGCTTTGTTGGATATTTTCCTTCAGCGTGCAAATGTGCCTATGATATTTCTGCCACATAAAAACAAGTTACTGACATCTCTTTCCCCCACTACATCCCTCCCCTTTTCTTTGCTCACCTATGTGGGAAAATACCTTAAAATACCTTACAATAAAATACCTTACAATATTCACAGTATAGACACCTCCCTCCCTAGTTTCTTGGGTCCATTCTTACCCAGCTTTCAACTACATCACTCCACTAGTACTATTATTGTGAAGGTCACTTATGATAATCAATTCTGTTAATGGCATCCCATCTCATTCAAAATAAAAGCCAAAGTTTTGCTATGACCTACAATGTTCTATGTGGCCTGGTTCCTCATAACCTCTCTGACTTTCTATCTTACATGGTATCTTAATCATTCTCCTCTTCAGCCAAATTGGCCTCTTCTCTGTTCCTCAAAATAAGGGGTATTCCCCCCACTCAGGGGCTTTTGTGTCTGGAACTCCTTCTGTCTAGAATGCTCTTCCCACAGAGACTTACAACTGATTTTTTCACTTCTTTCAGAGCTTTTCTCAAATTCACCTTCCTGTGAGGCCTTTTTGGGGAACTCCATCTAAAATTTCAACCTTCTTATTGAACATTTCATATCCTCTTTCCCTGCATTAATTCTTCTCCTTAACACATAGCACTTTCTAACATAATATGTATTTTTATTTAACTTATTTATCATCTGTTTCTTTCAATAAAATGTAAGCTCCATGGGGGCAGGGATTTATGTCTGTTTTGTTCACAGTTATAGCATCAGAAGCTAGAACAGTGCTGGGCACATAGTAGGTTCCTTATAAATACTTGATTAAGGAATCCACAAATGAATCTTATTTTACATGGCACCAGCGTATAAATCCGTTAATGATGCTTTCTTCCTCAAAAGACATTTTTCACTTGTTTTCCAGAACTATCTACTTTCCTATTTTTCTCCTATTTCCCTGCTTCTGCTTTCAGTCTGTTTTACCCCATTTGTTCCTCAACATTTCAACCTATTAATGGTGGAGTGCCTCAGTGTGTTCGGTTGAATTGTATCCCCACACCTCCCAAATTCATATATCGTAGTCCTAACTCCCAGTACCTGAGAATGTGGCCTTCTTTAGAGATAAGGTTTTTACAGAGGTAATCAAGTTAAAATGAGGTCATTAACGTGAGTCCTAACCCAAGATGACTGGTGTTTTTATGAAAAAGAGAAATTCGGAGACACACACACACACACAGAGAACACCATATGAAGATCAAGGTGATGCTTCTACAAGCCAAAGATTGCCAGCAAACCACCAGAAGCCAGGGAGAGGCGTGGACCAGATTCTCCCTCCCAGTGCTCAGAAGGAACCAACTCCGCAGGCACCTTGATTTCAGACTTCTGCCTCCAGAACTGTGAGACAATAAATGTCTGTTGTTTAAGCTCTCCAGTCTGTGGTACTTTGTTACGGCAGCCTGAGAAAATGAATATACCCAGGGATCGTGGGTTGAGATTCTTATATAGCTACCTTTAGTCCCTTGGTGATCTCACTGACTTGTGCTTTTCAATCCTATCTATGTACCAAAGTCTCCCAATTGTTTATCTCCAGCCCAGCATCTTGGAACTCCTCACGTGTATCTCCAACTCTATACAACACCAGCTTTAACGTGTCCCAAACTAAACTCATCTTCCCTTGGAACCTCCTTCCTCCCACAGTCTTCTTCATCTCAGTTAATAGCAACCCCTGTCCTTCAAGTTACTCAGGTGATTTACCTTGCAATCCTTCTTGACTTTCCTCTTTCGTATCATCAATTTATCAGCAAAAATTCGATTCTACTTTCAAGATACATTCAAACTCCACTTCTCAGCACCTGCACTGTTTGCACCCGGTAGCCACCATCATCTTTCACCTGATTTATAGCAGTAGCCTCCTCATTTGTCTCCCTGCTTCCATCCTTTGCTCCCCTTCGTCCTATTCCCAATATAGCAGCCAGAATGGTGCTGTTAAAATGCAGTTCAGATAGTACCACTTCATTGTCCAAAACGCTACAATTTCTCCTCATCTCACGCCTCACGCCCTTACGGTGGCCTGTGAGGCCCCACAAGGTCCAGTCCTTGGCAACCCCTTTGACTTCATCTCCTACTCAGCCCTCATCCAGCCCATGTTGCTTCGGCCGTCTGGTCCGTGCTGTCCAGGTATGTCAGGGCTGTTCCTGGCTTGCACTTACTGTGCCCTCTGCCCAGAACACTCAACTCTCAGATTTCACATTGCACCTGAAGGCCATTCAATGAATACTTTTTGAAGAAATAGGGAGTTGAAAAGATTTACATTAATAAGATACAATTAAAACTCTTTAGATTCATATTCAAATTGCACTGCAGTTACGCCCCATTGGATCTTTATAAGCTCCTTATGTGCAAATAACATCTAGATGTTTCCTGGTTGATATAATTCATCCGATTCACTTCCACTTGTGTAAACTGCTTTGCAGTTACTGGTAGTTCTAGACCAGTCTCTTCTTATATAGCCATTTGTTCTAATTGTAGCAAATGAAGCTGAGCAAAGCTTTGCCTTGTGATGATAATGATTCCTCATTAGTGGTTAGAGTCTGTCTGGCTCTCATTTTCTTTGTCATTTCTGTAAGCCTTTTTGGTGCAAATTTAAGGTCCATAGCCTGAGATTTAAAAAAAAAATCTCCATATAAATTTATGTTTTTCCCAGTTTTATGTTAACAGAACCCCAGTTTTTACTTGGGCACATGGCCATGCAGAAAAAAAAAAAAAGACATTTCTCAGCCTCTCTTGCAAATTACAGTGGTGTTAAAACTATGTTCTAGTCAAGGGGATGTTAGTGTAGGATATCAGTTAAAAGAGAACCAACATGTACTCTTTGCTCCCTTTTCCTCCGTGTTCCTTCCTCCATCCTGCTGCCTGGAATGTAGACATGATGGCTGGAATTCTAGCTGCAATTTTGTATCATGAGGAGAAGATATACACACACTAGGAAATGAGGGGTGAGCTGCAAGGGGTTTATATTACTGAGGGCTTCATGGAGCAGAACCATCGTACCAATGCTTGACATTTTACCTCTGACCTTATGTGAGAAAGAAATTTCTCTCTTATGTAAGTCATTGCTATTTTAGGACTCACACAAAATCAAACATCCTACCTCAAACATCACAAAAACTATCTAGTTCCTGGAACTAGAATTGAAAGAATTTGAAAGAATCAAAACAATAGAAAGTGTCTGCAATGATAGTCAAAGGTCTTTATTTTCCATATTTAATTTCTTACAATCATTTTGGAAAAATAGTTGCGCCTCCAAATATACTTTCACTGAAGGAAGCTGGTTTCACCAAAGCATTATTTGATTATGGAAAAAATATTTATTACTGGAAAACAAATGTTCCATTCAGTTTCCATTTTACACATACTTAAGACAAGCATAAAGTAAAGATCCAATGTCAGAAAGAGGCCATTCTCATTCACTGAAACACTAGCTCAGAAGAGAGTCTTTGACAATAGAAATCCAAAGATTTTTAATTCCATTCAAAATCAAGTTTGCCTAAAAATGTGGAGATGCATAACATTTTCTGAAAATCTTTTTGGAGAATGTCTTTTTATCTTTGTTGTTGGTATTCTTTGAAACATTTTGAGGTTTATTTAACACAGCATTGTATCTGCTTAACATTCAAATTTAGAAACACTGATTATCCGTTCTACTCTTCTGAATAGTTAAGTACACTCTATAAATAAACACATCAATTTTGCTCTATTACTACCCTTCTAAAAAGCCTCACATAATTGGAATTAACCTAGTATTTACTTATCATTAAATATATTTTTGTTAGAAAGAATACATAGCATATGAAATTACAGGATTTTCATGAGTTAAAGACAAATTTAAGAACTTTGAAATAATATTTACAATGTAAACATCACAGTTATTACATTAGAATAAAATAAATCACAACATTCACAACACAATATATTTTATTTGGTTTTGATATTGAAGTTGTTTTCTTGAATTACTTATGTAGAACTCAAAATATAATTACTTCACCTATCATTTTCCTTTAAGAATTCTGAAAAAGAAAGAATTGGTGTTTTAAGCATAAAAATATTTTTATTTACAGCATCCTAGTTTCATTCATTTACCCACTCATTTGATAAGCATCTATTTCTCTTTGCCCCTTATCCATAGCTTGTGATGGGATCACCTTCTGAGATATCAAGAAGGCATCTTCCAAACAATTGATTGTCAAAAAGGGCACTGGAATGTGAAGGGGCTCGCTAGTCATTAATAATCACCCACTTGTAATTTTCACAAATGGTTGACCCACAAGATTTCCTGTTAAAAGAATTTGTCCAAAGCCACCCATTCAAAAAAGAAAAGAAGAGAATAGAGGATGGAATCTCTTAAATGATCTTGCAACTTACAAAAGACAGAGTGATTAATCCTCCTTTATACTTTAGTGTCTCTTGTATTTCTTAATTTAATGGAGAAGGTGTCTTCTTATAAACATTTTTTCAAGAAGCTATGTATGATTAGCTTTTTTCTTTGAGCAAAGGGACTTGTTTCTCTGAAATGTCTATTCACGATAAGGAATGGGTTTGTGCAGCACTCCTGATCATGTATCTCTCTTAAAGGTGAAGGGATAGTTAATGGACAAAAGCAACAAATTGGGCAGGTGTCTTTCCAAACACTGTGTCTATTCTTGATCACTCTCATGAAAACCTTACATATTCACTCCAGGAACTGAAGTAAGACCATGAATTGTCTTCAATCTGAGCACGAGTCTAGTTTAATCTTCTTGACCTAGCCAGAGGTTGTAGTTCAGCTTACCTTCAGGTTTTACAAATAAAATTTTATTGTAACACAGCCACTCTCATTCATTTTATGTATTACCTGTGACTAGTTTCATGCTACAATAGCAGAATTGATGAGCCGTAACAGAAACCATATAGCCCACAAAGCCAAAAATATTTACTCTGCAGCCCTTTGGAGAAAAATTTTGCCAACCTCTGATATACTGATGACATAAAATTTCTCTAAGCACCAAGTATTATAAATATATTTTTATGAACTAATGTAAACATTAATATAACTCAGGAAAGAAACATGTCTTGTATCCGTGTATACATAAAACAATCATGATAAGCTTATTACTTAAAGCAATAAACCTATTCATGTTTTCTCTATTCAAAAAATATTTTATAGTGAATATTATTGGAGTCATAGTACCTACACTCACTTTATAGGTAAAATAAGCAAAATTTGACTTCTGCTGTGTGAAGTTTGCCATGTTCCAAGGAATACAATTAGTCCCAGAGTGCTTGGTATTTTCACAATAACAAGCCATGCTGTAATTTGGTGGTATTTCCCTGTACTTAAATTAAATGAGGTGCTAACAGCCAATCGTGGGATTAAACTTTAAACTAATAAAAGCAGCATGACTTGATTCTCAAAAAGAAAGCCAGTTTTTCTCATTAGTGTGAGTCAGTCTCTTCTGTTTTACATCTTGGCAGAAGGATAGCAATAAGTGTGAATAAACAAGGAGATTCCAAACTGTTTACTCATTGTGAGCTTCTCTTTTATGCCATCAGAACATTGCGTGAATCATTTTAAGCCATTTACTGGGTTGGGGTCCACTTCAGGTAGAAGTGTCCTTCTTAGATGTGGTCTCATTGTGAGAAATCTAAGATGTTTCTTACCAAGTGATTCTTATCTACTTAAATGATTAGACGATTGTTATAAGAATATAGTAGGAATGCACAGATATACCCACCATTGGGAAGTTGTCAGCAGCTTTGCTCCTGAGAGCTTTTTCATCATTTTTCTAACTCTTCAAGGAAGTCAGGAGACTCTCCCTCACTGCTGCAGACCAGAAAAAGAAAATTGTGCGTGTTAAGGCCCGTAGATGCGAAAGCATCTAAAAAAATGATGATGTGTGACCTATGCTGTTCTCTGCACTCTGTCAAGTGCTCTGGGGGCTAAACAATTATCTTTGAGGTTAGTTATTACCTATGAATTTTTCTTCAGTCTTGAAGTATCTACAATTATTCTTCCAGATTATAATCTTGTGGGCAAAGAGAGTCATCTTGTCTGATCTCACTCAAACAGAATTGTCCTTAATGCTTACCATCTAAACAAAAATAATTGGGATAAAAAGAGAGAGCACTCCACTTCCTATTGTGCTCCAATATTTACACACCATAGAGAGACATAGGTTTTGCAGAATGGGAGGAGACAAAAGAACTCATGGTTTAACTTGGTAAAATAAGGGTATTTAATATGGACATGAAGGGAGTTCCATGTGATATCAAATTGCTAATTAATTGTGCTTTATATGTTTTAGAAATCAGCACTTTTGATAAAACATGTTCCCAGATTCAGATTGGATGTCTCTACAGTCATCATTTTTAACCCTGGAGGCACAGTAGAATCAACGGGGAAGCTCTTAAAAAATACCAATGTCTAGAGCCATACTAGAGGCACTAAATTCCTGGCAACTGGTTTTGGGTAAGGTCCAGACATCAGTAACTTAAAAATTCTCCAAGGTAGTCTAATGTTAGCCAAGGTGCAGAATTACTGCTTCTCACACTATAAATAGATAGTGAGGTAGAAAGAGAGGTAGATAAGTCTCCATACGTAGCTTCTATTTTGAAAGTCATTTATAATTTCTCATTTTAGCAAGTTCTCTGTTCTTTACCTTCTCTTCCCATTCAGAATTGAGTTCAAGTATTTCTTTACGGCCATTTGTTTGCGAAGGCGGGTGTAGTTGTCAGTGAAGACTGCATCCGAGTGGCGTTTGATTGGTCCTTGGTCTTCTGAGATGTTATTGCTAAGCCACGTGAGGAAAAGGAAGTCAAAGAATTTTGACAAGAAATGATAAATATGCCAAAGTACCAAATTTCTTGGAGTCCGATAAAAAGGAATTCCAACACCCAACTTATTTTCTATTGCAAAAAGACTAGGAAAAAAAATACATGTAAACCTAAGGATAAGGGAGCAAGAAATAATCCAACGAATTTTGGCATTTACTAGGAAGGCCTTAAGACACATTCAGTACTAACTGAGCAAATAATTTATCAAAAAAAGGGGGGGAGGGAATACTTGAAGTTGTGTTCTGCCATTGGGAGGAAAAGTTCTTTGAAAATACAGCTTTTTAGAAGCTTGGCTGCCTTGAATAGTGCCATCTAAATATTCAGCTATTGGCCATTTAAAGACAGAATCTTCCAATGCTTGGTTTGAGCAGGAAGTAAAAAACAAGTAATATGGTTAACCTTAAAATGTGCTTCATTTGTACTATGTCTTATTTATTTTTTACTGTCTAGTTCAATTAGATTGCAGATTTATAAATGATTGCTACTTAAGAAAAATAAGTATGCTTGGAGCCAGGGAGTGTGATATTACTGGAAAGCCTTATTTCCTTAATTCATGAGTTTAATATATTTATTGAAGAATGTAAATTATTTTACCTCTGTTGAACATTATCAAGTTATCAATTTTGAACAAAGTAAGTAAATTGTTGAAAGTGAAAATATAACTTGAAGATTAAATAATCATAACATGTTTGATAAAAATAATAAATTCTCTTTACCTAACTCGTTTTCCAATAAGAGACTCAAGGTATTTTTTGGCAGAAATTTGACCCAAGAGTCTGCTGAAGTCACTGGTGAAAACTCCATCAGCATGTCTGGCATTCCTAAAACAAGGAAGAAAGAATAACCATTATTTTGTAAATGGTTTTCTAAAATATTATTTTGGCTCATTAAATTAGAAAGAAACTTATCAGCTTATTATGAAAGCTTCTCATGCAAATTTAAGTCCAAATGGAGGTTTCCTAACAACTTAATAAAATATATTTTGTAGTCACTTATATCAAGACATTTTCTATAGTTCCAGCCCCAAACTTTGAAAAATTTAAGAAATTAGCTTTCTTGGAAGTATATCTCAATATTAAATAATGCTCTCTGGTAGAATCTATAAAACTAATTTTTCTCTAAGAAATATTGGTGCGAAAAAATATATTTAGTTAGTTTTATTTATTTATTTATGGTGCTTTATTTCTTCTACTCTGAATAAAGACATATCCAAAGGGAAACCATCTTGATTTTAGCAAAAAACCTATTATATCTTTTGATATTTCTTCTGCTAAAATATTTGGAAACAAAATCTCTTAAGATAGAGAGGGTCTGAGGGCCTGTCAACCAACTTTTCCACCCAAGTAAGGAACCATTTATACTTTGTCTTCAGTATAGAGCTGCTGCTATGTCTATACCTGAATGCTTCTCTAGACAAATGGTTCTGTGAATGAATAGCTTTTATTATTAGACACTTTTTCTTTACAGAGAGAGGAAACTCTTGCCTTAGAACTCCCTCCATCGTGGAGTCCTAAATGCTGTGGTTTTACTAGACATAGTACAATTTCTGATGTTGAAATTTTGTGCAACAGAATGTAAGGGAATGATTTGTTCATCTTGGCTTGTTACAACCTCTCTACATGAAAATCATGTACAGCTGCAGAAGCTGCAATAAATCAGGCTGGATGAAGCCATGACACCTGGAGCCCTGTAGTGATTTGCTGTAAGAATAGCTTCATGGTGACACAAAAATAAAACATTTGTATTTCAAAAATATATTTTCTGAAATAAGACAATGAAAATGAACTCACCTGGATACATCATTATAGGGTGTGTCATTTTCAGCTAATGCATTTTGCAAGATGTCAGTGTCTGCTTTTAATGAATCTTGATCAGGTTCATTTGCTTCTTCAAATGATATTCTGTCACCTAACCTATTAAGAAAAAATACAGTAGAAGTATAATACATTTCTTTCTCAAAAGATAGTGCTTATGGTTTTACAATCATTTGAAATAAGGTACTCAAAATCTTGAGCGTCTATGGTTTATGAAAGTATAAATAGTTAACTTTTTTATTATCTCACAAAATAGATGCCATACAACTTTTACAAGCTCTATGTTCCAAGCATAAGAGCTACTTTGTTCAATCTTAGAGCATTAAGCAAAGTACACTTCCTTGATAATATCTTCATTTTGCAAAGTTAAATTTTACAGGTAGAAAGATTTTATACAAAATAGAAACTTGGAAAATTTTTTAATATTCAATATGAAAACTGGGAGCAATTCGTGTATTTGTTGATGTTTAGTATCATTTGTCTCAAACATTTCTCGAAAGCTGAGTATTTTCAACTGCTTTTCATTCTCTAGGTCTCTAAGATTTGCTTCCAAGATTCACCTTGGTATGATACATTTCTCTGTATTAATCAAGTCCAAAGAATTTCTCCATGGGTCTTTCTGTTTTCTAATCTTATGTATTAATACAATTTTAATGAGGAATGTACAATGCTTTATTGGAAGACTAAGAATAGTCATGCCTATACATGAAATATGACTATATTTGTGAATGTATGCACATTTTGAACTCCAGCATGCTATGAAAATTATGTGTGTGTATATTTTCACTGTTATGGTAAAACTCCAGGAGTGTGTTGGCTCCTGGGCACTGGTGTATCTTTTAGTGATGTAGTAGTAGGTGGTCAGTTACAAGCAGTTCTCCCTGTATGAAGGCTGGCAATCAATGCAAACTTCAGCATTTTTTGATTATCTTCTGTGATATAGCCATTCAGATAGAATCATTCTATTTAGTTGTCAAAGCAACGTAAGATCTGCCTTTATGTAGATTTTAAAGAGAACACTAACAGCTAAGAGATTATTCACTCTATTGAGCATAAGTCTACCTTGAGCAAAGAATCAGGAATGGGAAAATAAGCAAAGAAATCATGATTTTGCCCTTAGTATAGTAGTGCTTGTAAACCAGAAGGAAAAATCCAACTAATGTAGTTATCATTTACTGTTTATTTCTTTAGCATAAATTTATTTTATTTCATATAAAGATTTAAATATGTATTGTGTTATACTTTATGAATTTGAAATATAAAATACAGCATAGAGAACAGTAAAACTGAGGATTTATGGTTAAAACCAAGTACATTAAAATTCACTCATTGGGGTGGGCATCTCAGTAGATCAATTACAGAACAATTTTTAATATTGGCTAATGATTCTGCTTACATAGGTCTGTCCAATATGATTTTATACATGTTTCATTAATCAACTAATAATCTTATGATGAGTTACTGATTGATTTTGAAAATGAACTAAAATGAGATAGGCAGCTAAATGTCTATTTTTCCATCAGAAACTGAACTGAACTGAGATGACAATAGATAAAAGCTGATCATTTATCTAAAACTAGTTTTGAATGAAAGGAAAGGCAAATCTTCTCTCTGCCTTGTTTATATGTGACCCAATCTACTCATAAAACTGGTGATTGACACTCTCTCTCATGCCCTGAGAGTGAATTCCAAGACCCAGAATAATCATGTTGACCTGATATTTAAAAAACTTGCTTAACACATCAACCAAAGGATTCAAATAAATAATACATAATTTAAAAAATTGAGTTGTCCCAAATAACATATAGATGAAGAAGGGATGTTTAACTGTCTGAATTGAAAGAGACCTTACCTCAGAGCAGAAGGTGCTTCGAAAAGAGGCCAAGCCAATGTCTGTGAGAAGAGCATGCTAAAAAGCATCAGGAACACGAGGAGCTGAGGCTTACTTCTGGTTTCCATCTCTGCAGCTCAAAAGGGAGAGAATCACATCAGTTTTTCCAAACACAGATGTCACCAGCAAGGTAATTCTGAGTGTCTAGCAGTAATTTCTGAAGGCTCTTGCAGAGTTTGGAAAAAGCAATTTTTGTCTTACAGAAAGAGTTAAACTACAATATGATTACTTTTAAAGTCAAGAAGATTTCTCTTGATGACAGGTGCCTAAATAAAAATTAGGATCCTTTTCAATTGCTTCCTATCTTTCATCGGGCACATAGTTGGCTCAAGTATATATTGAATGCCATATTTTATAGTGCTGGAAATAACCCTGGGGACAATCTCCTTATAACAGAGTTGTAGCATCCAAGTTTAGTGTCCTTTCTAACCAAGGAAATAGCTTCAAGAAACTGATTGTTTCTTCTACTTTAAGTTTTTGCATCTGATTAATATGAAACTAGAGTACCATCTATTTAATAAATGTGTGTGTCTATGTATGTAACTATCAGTGTAAGAGTTATTTTGTACATACGTTTCTTTTTCCTTCTTTAATTGTAGATATTACTGGGAACTTATTTCCTTAAGCCTGGGTTTGAACAACTTAATTAATTAGTCAAAATTAATACAAAAAAAATCACTGAAACACATATTACCACTGAAATATTTTTTGCCATAAAAGTAAAAATATGTTAAAAACAAAGCTTGTGTTTTTTACATCTAATCCACTTACACATTTCATTTCTAAGTAGTTTCTAGATAGAAACTTAGGGGTTCAAGTTCTGTTTCTCTTGCTGTCTATAAAAATCAACTTAAAATAAAGAGAAAATTAACTGCTTCCTAGGTTCACATAACCAACATATGACATAAAAAGAACAGTACTGAAAAGACAAGTTGAAAACTTCAAAACAAAAAGTACTCACTGAACCCTTTAGTCAAAAATTTATACTCAAGCAAAAAAAGAACCTACTTGAATGCATTATTTAGAAAAAGACAACAGTAGTGAGTAAAAGAGCAAGCAGGAAAAGCATCTTGCAACAGAAAGAATTCAGAAAATCCATTGACATATGAGAAGTTGAGGCATTTCCATACCTACCACCAGGTGACTTGAGAAACTTGTTTTTTTGTTGTTGTAAAGAAGGAACGCTGTAAAATCATTTTCAAGAGAGAAGTAAAATTCAATACCCTGAGAAAAGTTCCAGAGGCAGGGGGAGAAACATAAAGAAGAAAGGTAAAATTTTCACTTACCTTGCTCAGTAGTGTTCCCCAGGATCTTTCAGTTCCTAAGATTGTTGGAGCTGTCTCAGGTGCTGAAGTCCTGTGAGGCCGAGAAAGGCTCCGCCAGCTTTCTGCCCTTAGAGCTGAACCAGAACTTGGTACTGGCTAAGGGTTGGCTATTATTGCCAGCGACTGCTTCTCGCTCTACCCTGACCAGCATTTCAAAGCCCATCATTTTATAGGGCTTATGCTTAGGGCTGAGCAATCACCGAGCTCTCTGAAAGACGTCACAGGAGTACTCCCACGGGATGAATAGGGCTTGAAGTTCTTGTTTAATTGTCATTACGTCTGATTTATATAAGTTTATAGTGAGTAACTTCATGATGTAAGACACAAGGAGGAAATTTACTTTTCTTCAAACAAAAAAAGGTACCAAGCTTAATATGAAATGTTTTAATCTTTAATTAGTAACAATGAAATAAGAGAATGATGAGTGTTATAGCCAGGGCCACTGGGGTTCCTTCAGAAAGTAAGAATTTTATGTACAAGAACAGATGCAGCAGGCAAAAAAAAAAAAAATTATGTTCATTATGCTTACAAGTGTATAATTCTCCTTTATTACAAAGCATCAATTCTCCTAAAGCCTATTTTTCTGCTATTCATGTAGATCTTGATTTAATCTTTATTGAGATCTATCCTAATTTTAAAAACACCTAGAAATAATTTTTCATCTTTCTATTCTTACATTTCCTTTATGTTGAAACGAATCCCAGGATAAAAGTTTCAGATAGTATAATATGCACACCATTGTATAAAGCAGTAGTGGCACTGCCATCTCACATTTGTATCAAATGTCGTAGTGCCCAATGCACTTTCACATACATGATCTCAAATGATCCAAAAACTAAATTATCACGCTGTATACCTGAAGGGATTCATCTTTTCTTCCTTTCTTAAAGTTATACTCATCATTTTTATAAGTCCTTGCACTATGTAGAATTATTTTGTTTCTCCCCCTAAGTTCCCAAACACACATCCACACCCACACCTGGTTTTGAACATTTCCAACTCAATCACTTGACAGGTGGTTTCAAAGAAATATTTGGAAAACTTTTATGGAGTGCTTTGATAAATCCTTAATTTCTGCATCTGGGTTTTTTAACTCAAAGTAGCCTAGCACACATGCAATCAAAGTTTAAGGTAAAAATGCAGCCACATGGACAACTTCATAGACAACAAAGTAAAATGCTACCTTTCCTTTTATTTTTAAAGATTTTCTGTGTGTATTCTTTTACATTTTTGTTCGTAAGTTTCTCAAGGGAAAACAGCTCTAAAGCCCCCTTTCTTTCTTCTAGTTTAAGATTTTAGTATCTATTTGCTTCATTCAAAGTCAGACTGATCCAGCAAAAGAATATCCTGCTATGCTTAATCATATTTTCTAATCCAGTTACAAGAAAAATTAAATGAATTAAATTTCAAAATGTCTGGAAATTTGTTTTCCAGTTGACAGCTCTGACTTAAGCCAGAGCTTCTGTGGCTTAATTCCAGGAAATCTTTTTTTACTTGATTATTACAAACTAGAGGTTGAAATCGTTCTCATATGGAATTTTTTTATCTTTAGCTCTTTGTCACCCAATTCTCAGTGAAGCAATTTTATTTAAGAACAGCAACAGCAAAGTAAGTTGATTGAGAGTCACCAAAAAGCCAATGCTGAATGATAAGCAGAAAAATCTGAGAAAAAAGACGTAAAAATTTTTTATTATTTGGCCTAAGGAAGCACTTAGCATTCACAAAAAGTAACTGTGGTAGATTTTTCCAATGGTAAAGGCAGTTTCTCCTGTTATAATAATAAAACACAAAAACAAAGAGAAATCATTCAATTTTATCTCTGAATAAAAAAGTAAATTATACCAAAGAAGTGCATTTTTTCCTATGAATTTAAACTAGAAAGCAAAACTGAATTTCAAAATGGAATCATAGCACCATCTGCAGGTTTAAAATCTTAATTTACAGATTTTTTTTTTTGTAAATGTGTTTCTTCTCTTTTCTCTCAAGGAAACGGATGTAAACCAGAAGACCTTTAACCAGCTAAATTACAGGTGCTTCCAGAAAAATGAACATAAGAAAAAATGCTGTAACTGAATTTATCCTGAATACTTTGATAGCATGAACTTCAATAGATACAAAAATACAAATGTGGATTTACTGTTTAAATCTGCTTTTTTCCTACTTTACATATATTACCACAATTTTCCCATATCTCTAGCAAAACTTATTTCCTACCTTAAGTCTTCTCAGTAAAGTGATATTTATAATAAGAAGAATCATCATTCATTCATACAGTTAGAACGAATCTCCAAGATTTTTCTTTTACAAACAGGTAAAGTGACGCCCAGAGAGTTTAAGTAATTTTTGCAAGGTCACTCAGATGGGTAACAAATATGGGATTGAAAAGTAGGTCTTTTGATCTTGATTTAGCTCTCTTTCTATTAAGAACTAGTGATTTTCTGTAACTGTTGTTATCATCATTATAGATGCTAACAGGTCAGATAAGGAAAACAAAAGCCCATAAAGATATTGGCATCTCCCTTCTCCTTTTCTCACCAACAGGACAGGGCAGAAAAATAAGACTGGCATTCTAAACCAAACATACTAAATGTAGGGAAGTCGGATGGAAAGGATTTTCATGTGCAGGAGATAGGCAAAAATCCAGATTCACCTTTTCTCCTTAGTGCAGAGAGCTAATAGAGGGTCCTTATCACTATTATGGATGATAGGCCAAAGCTATGCTCTTCAGTCTCTTGGTGTGACAGTTTAGCCTGCCTCACTCACCCCGACTCACACTCTGCCCTGAGACCTGTCCACTCTCTGCCAGAGTAATCCTGAGCGGTTCGGTCTAGATGAGAGATCTGCAATCTAGTGGCTGTGAGCCACGGATGGCTCCCCCTCAAGCTAAGAATGATGTCTACATTTTACAGGCTGAAAAAAATTAAAAGAAAAATAATATTTTGTTAATTGTGAAAATTATATGAAACAAAGTTCAGTGTCCATAAGTAAAGCTTTATTGGAACACGGAAATGCTCATTATATATGTTTCGGCTATGGCTGCTTTTGTGCTACAGTGGCGAAGTGGAATACTTGCGACAAAGACTGTACAGCTCACAGAGCCTAAAATGTTTACTCTTTGGCCCTTCACAGAAAAGCTTTGTCAAGAAGGTATTTAAGAAGTCACGTCTATATTCTTAAGTCCTATAGCTTTCAATAACTTGTATTAGAAAACATATATGTGTATATATGTATATATATATACTTTTAATATATATGTGTATATATGTGTAATATGCATAACATATATATACATCTAATATGCATATATGCTTTTAAGATTAAAGTAGATATATACATATACTTTAATATATATAATATTTATACTGTATATTAAAATAACTAAAAGTGTATATATTAAAGTATATATACTAAAAGTATATATGTACTTTTAATCCCTTTAATTTAGAACATTTGGATTTACTTCTAGGATTCTTGTATTCTTCTAATAGTGTTGTGATGAAAATAATGTTGTAGCAAAGATCAATTTTTCCTTTATAGTTACCTACTACAATTCGTTCTGGAGTCTGACAATATGTTATTGAATATTAAGCAATTGAACACATAATTATCTAAATGATATGAATGAGGACAACCTCCCCCTTAACTCCAAAACACCATCCCCTATCCTACTTCCTGATGCTGAGAATTTTATAGAAAATTATTCCTTTGTTTCAGAATTGTCTTGTTTTAAACCAAAAAACATG